CAACTATAGACAATAGAATCAGAACCCCCAAAGACTTCATGTAAGGGAATAAGAAACACTTAAGGGATAAATGGGTTAAATATATGTATAAACAAGAAGCAACTAAAAATAAGTCCAAAAAACGATTTGAGGGGGAAAAAACAAATAATACTAGAAATACGAATTATTTGAAAATTAAAACCTTTATAAACTAGCTTCAATTTCAGGTTAGATATAGCCAAAAATTATAAACTGAGAAATTGATATTAGTAAATTAAACAGAATGTAATATAGAGGAAAAGGAAATGGAATGTGTGGAGAAGTGTTCTGGAATATAAGATGAAAAAAGTCTAGCATGCATTTGATCAGAATTACAGAATGAGAAGGGAGCAAGGATGTGGTAGAAGATATATCTAAAAATCTGTAGTGACTGAACATTTCTCCATGGACATAGGTTTATTTCTAAAACATAGAAATAGGTTTATAGTTATGAGTTATTTCTCATAACTCATAACTGCTAAAAGAAATATTTAAATTCAGGAAGAAAAAATACCTCTATATATATTGAGGTAACATTGATTTATTACAGTGTGTATGATTCAGAGAAGTAAGATCACATCTCCTCAGATGTATGTTACCACATCACAGTCACCTCCAAGGCACGACCTCTTTAAAGAAATCCGCATACATAAAAATGAAGCTGCCTTACCCCAAAGGCAAGAGAACATCTCAATTAACCTGAGAATAAAGGCAGATCACTTTCAAAGGCAGAGTGAGGTGGCAGAACTCTTAAAATCAATAATGAAAGTCAAGATTCAGTGGAATTATATAATATCTAGAAAATGATAAAAGACTAATTACTAATCTAAAGATTCACACCTACTGAAAGTACTTTTAAAGGTAAACTTTTTCCCATGAAAATTCTCATGAAAGAAAAGATTCTCATGAAAGAAAAATATAATGGTAGAGGGGAAATGATGTCAGAAAAAAGAAATATTATATATGTACATAAATATAAAAAGAAAAATGACTGTAGGAATAGTAAAAAATACTGTTTCATGGAGTTTATTAAATTACAGAATTTAATTAGTTTATAATTAAAATGAGTAACAGTAATTACTGTTCAAGTATAAGTTGGAAGGAGAATATTTGGAATCTAAGATGGGTAGTGACACTTTTATGCATTTGTGTGTCAAAGGTAGTTTCTAATAGAGGAGAAAGTATAAAATTTCTAGTCTAAAAGTGGAAAATTAGGAAATGACAAAAAATAATATTAAAGAAAGTATGAAAGAGAAAAAGAAATATAAAACAAGTGAAATGGGCACAGAAAGCAACATACTTTAATGGAGAAATAAAACCCAAATATTTTAGTACCTCTGTTAAAGTAAATGACGTTAATGTCACTTGAGCATAAAACAGTATCTAACTCTATGTCATTTACAAGAAATATAAAACATAGGATTACTTTAAGCGAAAAGCTGAAAGTAATATGGAAAAAGACATACTGTGGCTCTTAGCCCATACTTTCCTTAAAGGGAAAACTGTGCTAAAAATACACTTGTAATGCCAGATACTTAAAGTATCTGTTGTATTACTAGTACTGGATTAGAGACTTAGAACCACAAGCTGCCCAAGTTTATATTTCTTTGATGTTTTACTGTATGTCTACTTTATGACTTTAGGTTGTCAACACAGTTTCATAGCAATCAGAACCATGGGTGGTATTTATAAGGTGATAATTTATCTTACAGATGTATTTACAATATTTCTCTCTGTCAAAACAAGCTTAATTCATTTAATTGTTCAATTAGATAAACTAGAATTAATATGTAATTGCTTAAGAGATCACAAAGTGTTAAGAGGGAAGCATTAAAAGCTTTTTTGGAGTGAGAATGAATATTCTTTTTTTAGTTCTCGTGTTAGAAATGATTTAAAGGATCTTTTTTGACTTAACATGATTTCACATTTAACTGGCGCTGTTGCAGTACTACATTCCACATAAATCCAGCTCATGTATAAAGGAAAAAATCCAGTTTAATCTTTAGCTGTGATGAAGAATGATTGAGCCTTGTCACCAGAAGTGTTTTTTGTTCATTTAATAAATATGATAACCTGAATAAATGGGTAGAAGGATTTTGAATCAGAGAGATAGTGAAAAACAATGTGTGCACTAGAAGTAGAAAAGTAGATTTGGTTTTGAGTTTGCAAATACATGTAAACTAAACATGAACTTGTGAATATCTGTAGAGAAAAAGAACCCTTTCAATGAAGACATTCTTGAGCAATCCATCCCTAAGCCTTCACACATAGTTAATTCTATACACTATATTCTATAGCCTATACACTGTATAATCTAAACACTATATAGTCTATATGCTATATAGTCTAGAAATACACTATATAGTCCATATACTATAAACTATGGCAAAGTGTCACACCAGCTTCAAAGCTAATAACATATAAATCCATGCTTCAGTAAAATTATAAGACACACTTTACAGGTGAATAGGAAATGACAGAATCTGAGAGTTGACCCTATGAATTTCTGGTTCCTACACAGTGTTTTACTCACACAGGTTGAGGACTGTGGAAAACGCTATTGTAAGTAAGAACCTATTGTAAGTAAGAACAATCCTGCATAAAATTTACTGTCAGTAAAGGCTCCTAATTTTGTATTAATTTCCTGAAATGTCAGCAGTGAATACTGATAAAGATACAATCCAGATACACAAATTGATCTTTACTAAAAGCAGAACATTAATTCTTTTCCCTCTCAATATAGTACATATCATCTATGTTTAGGAAATTAATTTGAATTATCCATGCATAATCCAATATCAAAATCATTGGCCACAAATGAATTCTTGGTATTCACATTTAGGTTCAGCTACTTGTTGGCTGTTAGGGACCATTAGAATAATCCATATTTGTTAAGGAAATTATTTTCCTCTCTAAATGATCAGCTAAAGGTTAGGCTTTCACTAGTCCAATAAATTATTTATGTAACATCAATTAGCCTCCTTCTGCCTTTTCCTTACATCACAAGGGGTTGGCTCACCCAGTACATGAGTAGATCAGAGGTGGAGGAGAGATCAGCATGGGTATAATGTTTACTTGTGCACCTGTTCTAATATGTGCCTGGATTTGTTTTAATCCGGGATGGTAAGATAGCAGGCATGGAAACGATTCTCATGAAAGAACAAGTTTATACTCAAGAACCCCAGGAACTGGAGAGGCAACATGCCTCCAGGGGCCACATGGGGAAGAACATGGGGTGGCCAGGAGGTAGAGAAGTGGGAGAAGCAGAGCATGACCTGGAGTCTTTGTTGGGTTTTCTTGAGAAGATAGGGCAGGTATGCTGATTAAGTTTAGGACTGGAAAGTTCAAACAATTTCAGTTGGCTCTGGCCTGTAGTGATGTATCTAATTTATAGTATCTAGTCCTAATGGTGATTTAAAGCAAGGGGACTTTTGGCCTGGTGTGCAAAAGTTTGATAATGGAGATGTTTAAGGCTGTGGGCTCTGGACTGGCTGATTTGTCATCAAAGGTGCACTCACGGAGGGTGTCATTTGGTTACTCTAGGAATTAGCTATTCCTGTCATGGGTAATCTTTATAGGTTAAGACCTCAAATGCTGAAACATCAAGAATATTAAAAATAATAAAATGTAATCAATAGAACAGTCCTGCTTTTAAGCGTATGGGTCAGTATTTATCTGAATCTTAAAATAATAAGTATAGATATGAGAAAGTTAATCATTAACATCAGAAGCCCACAATATTTCCCTTGGCAATATGTTTACAGCTTAATTTCCCAAAAAAACTCTCCCAAAAGTGAATAGAAAACAAGGCAAAAAACACAAGTGACTATTCATGTGCATTATCTTTTTAAAAAGAGAGGAGGAATATAAAGCACTCACATAACTGTGAACATTTTTCATAATAACTAGGCACAGGAGTTTTTCTCAGATTTGGAAGTTTCTTTACTGACAACCAAGGGAATCACAAAGATTATTTTGGTGTTCTTGGAATGTACTCTTGGTCTTGGCGCTGCCATTTAAAAACGCTGTCTGGAGTACTTTAAAGAACGTATACCTTCTGCACTTAGTGTTTTAATCTAAGGATATTTAAGGCCCTGGGCTCCTAACAAGTGACATAGATGGACAATTATATTGACCTGGGGTAACAAAAGGAAAGCAATGAAATATTTAAGCTTCTGCCTTGAACATCTGTGATCTATACTTTCCTCATCCTCAATATGAAAAGGTTGGGTCAGATGATCTCAATGGTCTCATGCAACCATCACTCACACAGACACACAGTCATCATTATGTTCCTTGGGATGTTGCCTACTTAAAATAAAATGGTTAAGGGCCTCCCTAGTGGCACAAGGGGTTAAGCACCACACTATGAAGCAATCTGCAGCCTCTGCAAGCACAAGTTCGATCCCCTGCTGGTCAGGGAGCAACCCCCATGGCGCAGCAAACCTCTCCTGATTTGCCCGCTGCTCCCCTCAGCAGTGTATTTCAGTCAGTCTGCCTGTTCTGCTCCCCACTCTGTCTCTGGTGAATCCTCTCACCCTCCGCATCTGTGGCCTGTACCCCAGTTCTTGTATGCATAAATAAATAAATCTTTAAAAAAATAAAATGGTTAAATTGAAATATATACATTTTAATGGGGAGCGAATTAAGTTGATCTAGGATACTGAGTCCTATATGACTCATTCTACTTGACTCACTATCCAGACCCTCTATTTTATAGGTGTAACCTATCTTTATGTTTAATATATCTTTATTTATAGGATTTATTAGGAACTAGGAGTATAATTGGACAAGCAGGTGATTAAATTAATTTGTGCAGGTAGCTTGCGACCTCATGCTTCATTTAAAAATAATGTCCCCACCAGTGATTTTCATTTAGATGATACAAACTTGCACACACCACAGGTCAAGGAAGGTATGCAAAATACCTTTTTTAAAGTAATAAGAATTTCCCACAAGTCCTAAAAGTAAGCTATTCTTACCTTAGAGGTATCATCGCCTTCATCTTCATGCACTGAACTCGATGGTGAAGGAGTTGCGGACTTGCTTCCAGGTGGAGATGGAGAGTTGTGGGGAACACTGCTTCCTCCCATATTCAGCCCAAGCTGAGCGCTTAGCTGTGACTGGTTGATGGTGGTCAGCTGGCCGTGCGGCATCATTCCTGGCTGCTGCCTGATGTCGGGGGGCTGACCCCTTGGTCTCATGGCTGCCATCTGAGGATGGGAGCTATACTGAGCTCCTTCAGGGCTTCGTATATCTTGCATCTACAACCAAATATGAAAAGGAGTAATTTTTAACAAATATGTTTCCAGAATTTAAAAAAAAAAATAGACTTTAAATATTCTGTAGGCTGCCCTGCTGAACAGCAGGCATTTTAATCTTTCACCATGTGTCTCAGAGTGTAACAATCTTAAAAGTATATATTCCCAAAAGGTGGTGTTATCAAAAGAACATAATTCGAGCATTCACTCAACTCATGTTTCGTTATTCAAGATCTGATTTATTATATTTACAGTTTTCTGTAATAATGAAATGCAAATATATATCATTAAAATATTTAATATGGTGTACGTTTAAAAATATTGATGCTTTAGTAAAGTGTCAAAATCATATAATTATTAGTGATTATAATATTCACAGCAATTTATGAAATTCTATTTATTTTATTCTGATCATTTAAGAAAGGCTTTTGGTAATTAAAGTTTTGTGGCTCTATGTTTAATTCTATATGTGTTAGTATTGGCCAAAATAATCTAGTAGTTTCCAGACTCAGAACACTTACAGGCTGGTATTAACCAATTGATTAATTGATGATTGAAATGATTTGATGGCATAATCAGATTTGAAAGTAAAGCTCTAAAGTTGCAAGGTCACCATATTAATCCATTATGCGATCTGGGTCTCTGCTTTTTAGCCTTAATGAGACTTACTTGTGTAATTCAAGCAATGAATTTTGTCTCTGCAAGGATTAAAATTAAAAGCATTGGAGGATGACGCTCTTAACGTATCTAGAGGTCAAATGTGCTGTATAAGAGGAGCATGGTAGATTTCATTTAACATTTCTGTGGCATTTTCAAACTTAAAATAGTGGAGACTATTTTGTGGTGTTATAGAAGCAACTCAGTTTTTTATTCTGAGGGAACTTGGGCAGTTTGTGCAGGTAGAGGGTTTATAAATCAAGAGAGGAAAAAAAGAAAAGAAGAAAAAGGAGAGAAAAAGGGAGGGGGTATATAGTTAAAATTACATTTTGAAACTGAAAAATAAAATTAATAATGTTACCTTTCTCTATTTCACTTAGAAAATATCCTTCATGGTTTTAGAATGTCTACTAATTATCTACCTGTAAATGTTATCATGAAATGGAAATACTTTAAAGGTCATTAAAATTCTAGCCACAGGCACTTTTAAAATTTTAATAATGAAATCATTTTTTACCAGTGCTCTCTAATCATTTTGCCAATCTAGTCAGATCCACCTGAAACTGAAGTTGTGGCTGAAGAGGTATCTGTGTTCTCTATTAGGATTACTGTCTCCACCATGATATCTCTTATTAGTCAATATCACTTTCCAATTCTTGCTACCACTTCATACTTAGTACTGGCTTTTCATAGTGAAGACATAGGCTGGCTACATGGTTTTGTACTTGGGGCTTTCCTGGTCTGAACCAACATTTCCCCCATAATTTAAACTGTATTGCTTTACTTTTTCAAGGATAGCTTATAGTTCTCCATTGTATGAAGTCCCTCATTAATGCAGTTATACTATTCAATGATAGAAGATAAAACTTAAGGGCAGGCCCTGGTATACCTTGATAAATGTCTTTTGAATAAATACATAAATACATTTAAATGAATGAATAAAACCTAGATAGGTTAAATATTTTTCCCAAATCAGAGTTGTAGTAAAGTCGTCAGCTCTCCGTTACACACTTTGATACTTCCTACTATACTTGCATATCCCATAGAGAGTTACAGTGAAAGTGAATCAAACATGACTTGTTAAATGTTGTCTAATCAAATAAATTACTATTTCTACCTAGTCCATTCATGTGGCTTCCACCCACTTTACTAAAAAGTTTTTGTTCCATCTTAGTTGTTCACATAACTTCTGTAATCTGATTTTCCTTGTGAAATAATGCTAGCTTTCAAGGAGATCCTTAATGCTGTGCTGCCATTAGAGGGTATCATAAAAACCAGGATCAATTTTGGAGAATACACAGAAGAGGGAATATATTCTCATTTCAGTCCTACTCTCTAATGCCCTTAATTGCTTTTTCGTAGACCCTGAGCCCGTAGAGTACCTCTCTCATTGTGGACACAGAGTAATGGATGCCCATAATGGCCACTGTCCTACACAAGGAAAACCCTTCTTCTAACCTTGCATCAAATAAAGCACTCGTGTTGAAACAGATGTTTGTTAAAGACTCATATTTATAGCCCTGAATATAAAAATGTTTATTAGCAAGTCATACTTTAACTAAGTTATTGTTCCAAAAGTATATCTCCTTCACTTAAATTCCAAGTTACAAACTGTTTGTAACCTATTGTTTCAAGCCCACTTCTCATTCTTAGATAAAATATTGTGGTATTAGCATGATATTGCAGAGAATGAATTTTAAATTGATTCACAGGATTTCCAGATATACAACTTAAAACAAGGGTTTTTAAAAACTTAAAGAAATCTCACTTAACAGCACCTATCATTTCCATCATTTTGTGATCTTTCTGATTGTTTTCTTATTCTAATGTTAGTGTTGTGGGTAGATCTCTGAATACTAAAATTTGTGTTCTCACCTTGGTACTATTAGTATAAGGATGTGGGCATGGTAAAGAATCAATTTTGGGTAGGGCAATGAAGGACTAATGAGGGTACTCTTTTCAACAGACTCATCTCTAGTTCAAAATATCATGTCATCAACGGTGTTAGGCCAGGCAACTGAATTAAAGAATAATTTTCCTGTGTGGAGGGTGACAAGTGAAATTAGGGAGCTACTCATCTCTAGTTCTCAGATGCACTTAAATATAATCAGATCTTAACACCCATGGTGACATTTCTGAATTGGGAGAAATATTTCCTTTACTCTGGCTTTCATAGATGTCAGTAAAGTACTAATCACTGCCTACTGTATAATATGGATATGTTAAACTGGATGGAATCTCACTACTGAAAAGTAATACTGAATAATGACTGTAAAATAAGTAGCTCATAAAAGTAAACAAGTATATAGACTGCTGGTTTCCTTCTAGAAAGATTCTGACTGACTACTGGTCTTAATGTGAAATACAAAACTACAACTTGCAAAATATTATTTTCTGTTTACCTTGTAATTTATTGTGGATAATTAATTTAATTCCTGCTTAATAAGAGCCACTATTCAATCTGATTTTTCTTGACTTCTTGATTTCTCTTTTTCCCAAAATTCCTACCCCTAAACACTTCTAAACTAACGTTGTTTCTAAGCGACATTTTTCCCATCTGGCTAGGATTCATCATGGGTTTGTTAATGAGAATGTTCCAAATTAAAATGTCCAGTTCTTTTTCTGATGTAGAAATAAAATTTGCTTATTTTTACATATTTATGTTCTTTCTATAATTCCATGATATCATTGCCATTATCTCATATCCACTAAATTTATTTTAAAGTCAAATTTGAAAATCAGTTTGTCTTTTATCCATTTAAAGTTGATTTACTGGTACAGTCACTATGGAAAGCTGTATGGAAGTTGCTCAAAATATGAATAATGGATCTACCATATGACCCAGTGATTCCATTCCTAAGATTCTATCCAAAGGATCCCTAGGAATTCGAAACACTAATTTGAAAGGAAACCTGTAACCCATGATTATCACAGACTATTTACAAGAGTCAAGATATGGAAACAAGCCAAATGTCCCCAAACAGATAAGATCAAGAAGATGTGGTGTATATACAGGATGGAATACTACTCAGCAATCAAAAAAAAAATAAACTCATGCCGTTTGCAGCAACATGGAGGGAACTGGAAGGGGTTATTCTAAGCAAAACAAGTCACAAGGAAAAAGATAAATATCACTTACATGTGGAATATAAAGAAATCAAACAAAGGGTTGGGAAAAGACAAAACTTGCAAGCTGACCATAGATCTGAGGCATACGGCAGAGTAGGAGGAGAGAGAGGGGTCAAAACAGAGGAGGAAAGAACACAAGGGACTGTGGTGATGGATCATAGATGCTATGGTGGTGGGAGAACTATGGGACTACACCCAAGGGGAGAAATCAAATACTGCACAAAAATTAACAACAGTGTAAGAAATAAATTTATAAATAAAACGGTTGGTCTATCAAATTCAATATTCTTCTTATTTTGTACTGACAATGCATTCTGTCTGTATTTCTTTATGGGACACTAATTTTACACTTCTTAGTTTGATATATATGTACTCTCTACACAGTAATCTTGACTAGTTGATTACCAATGAGGTCTTCAATACTTCTTGAGTTCTTTTAGTGAAAAGGTATTCAAAAAGCATTTGCTGAGTCAATATATAAATTAAGCAGTGAAAAATTCATTTCCATAAGTGTAAACTAACTTTAGCTGGTTTGATGATTTTTATTTTTGTCTGTGAGTTTCAACTAGCATTAGTCAGAAGATGAAAAGACAATTTGAATAATATCTGTTTCCCTTGTGGCAGAAACCTCAAACTGTACCCTCTGACACTCATTAGTCATTAAGGTCATAGCACTTTTGTCCTGAGAAACAGGCCTTCAGTATTTGGCTGTCTGGTCAAGAAGCTAGCTAACAGAGAGCAATTCCTATTCTCCTTTGCAGCTCTCTTTAACCATGTGACCAAATTTCCATGACTTAATTGTAAGTGAAAGTGTGGTATAGTACTCCGGAGAATCTCCTTAAATGGAAGGGCTCAGCTTCCTTTGTTCTTTTCTATTGGCAAAAATGTAGATGATTAGAACTGGGGTGGGAGGTGGATGTCTTAGAATATTGGAGGTACAAGAAAGAAGGAGCTTGAGTGTTTGATTATCATGGAGCTACCATGATAAAGCTACCATGGAGCTTTTCATGTGAAAAGGATGTAAATGTCTATCTATTTTAGAGTCACTGACATTTTGCATTTTCTGTTATAAGCAGCTGAACTTCATCTTAACTGATACACCCAAATAGGCCGTGAACTCAATGAAGCAACACAGAATCTACTTTGTTCACTACTGCAGCCCTGGAATCTAGTACAGATCTGGGCACAGAGTAGGTGCTCAATACGTACCTCTTGAA